GCAGCCCTTCTGCCTCCCCTTCTCCCCTTTCCCTTAGTGGCCAGTCCACTGTCACATCCTGAAATCTCCTATGCTCTCAACCCCCTGCTTCATTCAGAAAGTCGCCAGTACCCAATGAGAATGCCTCCACCTTGTACCCTTCCCACCTACAAACTTCACCGCCTTTGCACATATTCTCTCCACCTTCCCTTCTTCCCTGGCAGCAGGGCACTCCCCCTCCTGTCTAAGTTCAATCCCCCTCCTGCATCCCCTCCTCTTCCTCTTTTTTGCTCAAGCTCCTTGCCCTGTCCTGTCTCTAAGCTCTCCCTCTCTACCGGTTCTTGCCATTTGATATAGAAATAGGGTCCTTCTCTTCTATTAAAAACAGACACACAAACAGAACAAAGCCTTCCTGAGCCCTCCTGAGCCCTCCTGAGCCCTCTGAGTGCCCCCCATTCCTTCTCACTGCAGCTACAGCTCTCTTTCTTATCATTGCTAAGCTTTCTGAAAGGCAATTCTCTATTCTGTGACTGTGCAAGCACAGCTCACCACTACTGCACCTACCGCTCAGAATACTTCTACTTCCCTCCCCCCACCATTTCTTTGAAGCTACCCTTGTTAAGGTCACAAAATCATTCATTCAACAAATAGATATTGAGTTCCTACTATGTACCAGACACTGATGAAGGTATTCGGATTATATCAGTGAACAGAACAACGATCCTTGCCCTCACAGAGCTTACATTGTATCAGGGGAGACAGCCTGGTAATCAATAAATACAAGAAAAATGTTTAAATTGTACAGCATGTGATAGGAGGTTGGTAGTGCTTCAGAAAAAGAGTGTTTAGCAGAGTAACGGGAACTGGGAGAAGCAGGCAGAATACAGTTTTAAATAGAATGTCAGGGTACGTTTCATTGAAAAGATTTGATGAGCATGAAGACTTACAGTTGGTGACATCAGACTGACATCTGGATGGGGGGAGGGCATTTTGGGAAGGGGAAACAGCTAGGGCAAGGCCGTAAGATGAGGGTGTCATGGCAAAAAGACCAGTGACAATGACTTCCCAAATACAATAGATAGTCTGTCCTCACCGTGCGTGACCTCTCTGACTGAGGACTACTTCATCTGGCTCAGTCTCGCTTGCCTTGGCCTTGTTTATGCCTCTCTCATCTGCTGTACCTCCCGCCGCATTGGCCACGTCCAGTCTCTTTCAGATCCTGCTCTTCCTGTTTGCTGCTGTGACACGGCTTCTCACATGTTCTGTCTCTTTATCCTCAGGGTGCAGAGTAGGGTCACACTTCCTCACCCCTTTGGAAGTTCGGTGTGGCCATGTGACTTTAGCCAATGAAATAGCAACAGAAGTGGCATGTGTTCCTTTATAGCATCAGGGTTAAGATTTATATATAACTCATGAATAGAAAATGAGAAAATATGAAAAAGCCTATAAACTATATTCTTTTTCCTGCCTGAGAAATGGAGACAATAACAAACCTACCTCCTTAGATGGTTGTAAGCTAATGTAGGCACGCCTCATCTTATTGCGTGTTGCTTTACTGCACTTCACAGATATTGCAATTTTTACAGATTGAAGGTTTGTGGCAACCCTGCATCGAGCAAGTCTATCGGGATCACTTTCTCACTGAAGGCTCATGATGGTGGGCATTTTTCAGCAATAAAGTATTTTTAAATTAAGGTACGTACATTTTTTTTTAGACACAACATTATTGTACACTTAATAGGCTACAGTGTAGTGTAAACATAACTTTTATATGCACTGGGGAACTACAACTGAACTCACAATCTCTCCGAAGTATGCCTGTGCCCACAAAGCACTTATAAGGGCACCTGGTGTCCAATGCATAACAATAATTACTTTATTAGGGTTGTTATTAGAGGTAAATAAAACAAGCTATGTCAAGCCCTTAGCATAAAGCATACAGTACATGCACACCTGGCCTGGCTTCGAAGTCTGTGTTCGTAACCATTTACTGCCTCTCAGTCTAACTCCCTAAATGGTAGCATTAGTGTTCCGTTTCCGGCCTTGGAAACAATCATGGAAGCTTGTGTCAATACGTAGATTCCATCAACCCATGAAGAGCAGCAGCTCCGCTCAACCTCACTGAGAAGGGTAGCATGGGCCCAAAACAGACTTCCCTCACATTAAGGCCATTATTAGGCTTGGGGATTGCTTGTTAGTGCTATACAGCCAAGCTCACTTGACTGGCACAGTTTCCAAAATGAGGCCATTCTAAGATCTACTCTCCACATAACTCTTCCTGGGTGACCGACCTCATACAAGCCCCTGATTTCAACCAGCACCAATATATTGATGACTAAAATACCAATCTCTGCTAAGTGCCTCACTAGTATATCTAACCATACACTGAGTTGTCCTGCTCAGCTATCACTGAGGCACCTTGAACTCAGCAATTCCAAAGTAGCCTCCTCCGACCTGCCTCTCCCTTCAGTTTTCCTGTAGAGTGAAGACATTACATCCATCTTGCCATCCAAGCCAGGAACCAAAGCAGCTTGAACTCCTCCCTTCCCCATTCTTCCTCATCATCTAACAAGTACAGAATGAAGTCCTGTGGACTTCGACCCCTCTCTCATATCTGTCCACCCCTCTATTCTCAGCCCCACATCCAGGGCCTCACTGTGTCTGTAACACACAGGTCAGCAACAGCCGCTGTCCTGCTTCCATGTGGTCTCCTCTTAACTGATTCCACATGCGTCTGCCAAAGCGTCTCTCAAGAACACAGATATGGCCATGTCACTTTCCTCCTTTAAGTCTTTTTACCTGGCTCCCGTCAGTGATCCAGATAAATCTGAATCTCTGCATCCCACCTTCTAAGACCCTTTATTACCTAACTCCTGCCAACCTTTCCAACTTCAGCTTCTGCCTTTTCCTTTTATATTAGCCCCAATAAATTAAACACAGCTTCTCAAAAGTGATACTCGCTGTTAAATATTATTGTTTATAGCAATAGCAGTAGTCATAACATGAGAGATCTAGTCACTCCACACTACAGAAGGTCCTCAAATAACGCCATTTTATACAATGTCATTCATTTTGTTATAATGTTGATGAGAAAAAAAAATCGATTCTCAGCCTGGGCCACTGTCTGTGTGGAGTTGGCTCGTGGGTTTTCTCCAATACACTATTTTCCTCCCAAATCCCAAAGATGTGCACGTTAGGTTAGATGACGTGTCTGACTTGTCCCAGTCTGAGCGAATGTGCGTGTGTGAGCATGCCCTGAAATGGAAAGGCGTCCTGTTCAGGGTGGGTGCCCACCTTGCACCCTGGGCTGCTGGGAGAGGCTTCGGCCAGCCACGAACCTGGATGCGGGCGCATTAGAAAATCATTCTTACTTGGTGTTACTAATCATTCTTACATGTATATAAAGCTCACATTTATTTCAATGTTTAACATTAGAAATGTTTTGAATCTTTATTTAGAAGTTTGGTGATATTTTTGTGACTAAAAATGTGTCATAGGCACTTAACTCTTGTTTATATCAATTAGCCTATGGTAAAACTGGTTTTGTTATACATCGCTTCCCTTAAAGTCAGTTTCCAAGAACCTATCAAGGATGTTAGTGAGAATTTACAGTGTAATGTCTGATTTACTACTGGTCTCCTTCAATGGGCTGCAAACTCCTAGATAACACATCTTTGGCCTCATTCATCTTTGTATTTTCAGTACCTAGTACAGTACTTACCATATGGTAGATACTCAGTAAATGTCTGCTGAATGACTGAACAGCTGGCTGGCTGACTCAATAAATAAGTAAATGATTACAGGAGGTCTTCCCTATCTACAGTTTCGCTTTTTGAGATTTCAGTTACCCACAGTTAACCACAATCCAAAAACATTAAATGGAAAATTCCATAACAAACGATTCATAAATTTTAAATTGCTTGCCATTCTGAGTAGCGTGATGAAATCTCACGCCATCTTGCTCCTTGTTGCCCAGGACATGACCCATGCCTTTGCCCAGCATCTCCGCGTGTGTACGCTACCTGCTCATTAGCACTCCGTGGCCATCTCAGAGATCAAGGCAGGTATCAGAGAGAGACAGAGGGACCACATTTACATAACTTCATTACGGCATGTTGTTATAGTTATTCTATTTGATTATTAATTGTTGTTGTTAATCTCTTACTGTGCCTAATTTGTAAATTAAAGTTTATCATAGGTATGTATATATAGGAAAAAAAACAAAACATAGACTAGATAAGGTTTGGTACTATCCACATTTTCAGGCATCCAGAGGGTGTGTTGGGGCATATCCCCTGCGGATAATGAGAAACTATTCTACATACATACACACATACTTACATAAAACCAATAGTTCAATAAATGAAAGAATGCTAGCACTTCAAAGGGAAGACTTGAGTTTCTTCCCTATACCAGAAACAGAGACACGTGAAAAGTGCAACTGAGAGAAGGCGCTATTTCCATTGTCCTCTGATTCTATTGCCTCGTTCTTACATGCCATGCTGCCAAAATATTCTGAGAGGGTTTTTCAGCTAAAAGCAAAGGAGTCATGACATTCCCAAATCCGCTCCTGCACTAGAGTTAAAAGACATACAATTTAACCATGGTAAAACCAACAGAAAAACAATCTACGGAAATGGAAGTTATTAAGGGAGTCAAGATAGAACAAAGAAAATAGCAAAAGGTCAATTTGAAGAGCTCCCAAGTGAGATAAAAACATGGAAAATAGTAAAAAAAAAAAATAGTCTTCCCCATCTTTATTTTTCCCACCACTTTCCTTTCTCCTTCCTGTTTTTTTATTCCTTTCCCTTCTTTAATTTAAATATTAAACTAATAAAAACATGTGTTTTAATTCCCTGAATGTGACATTGATAGCAACATAAGATGGTAAATATCAAATGGATTATTTTCAGTCAAACCTGCGAAGATTTTGTACACATTTTAATTGTGGAAAATTTGACATGCAGAACACAACAGCAAACGTTGCTTTAAAAGAGTGTCAAGCTAAAATTGGTTCTGACCTGAAGAGATAAGCTTTCCTAGGGAATCTATGTCGATTCCTGTATCTGTCGGTTTACTGGCTGAAGGATTAATCTTGAGCTGCTTCCCAATAAAATTTCGGCAGGTTATCTTAAAAAGGAAAGATGAAAACAAACACAACTTAGTCAGGTTTTATAGCCAAAAATTTGGCATACTTTAAATGTTTATCTTATTTTTCATTTGTTGAGAGAGAGAAAGAGAGAGACAAGAAGATGCTACAGATAAAAGCTACCAGGGTAGCATTCAACCATGAGAACTTCTGGAAAACAAGCAGCTATATAATTTTTCATATTTTGTACAGCACAGCTGGAGGAGCATTAGGCAAATTACGTAGAGCAATTAGAATATAATTTTCTGATTTCTATCAATTTGCTAGACTAAATATATCTTCTATTATGTAAGTTGAAACATATTTAAAATATAGGCTGCTTTTCCAATGGCAGATTTTTCTACTCGACTTATAATTAATGTAATTTAAACTTCCCTGGTGAACTTTTCCAGAACTTCCCTTGTAGTATTTTTAAATTTTATTTTCTAACAGATACTTGAGCTGTAAAATTGTAAAATATCTGAAAATGGAACATTTTGAAACAGAAGGAAATTCTTTTAAAAGGTCCAAGATCCTCTTCTCTTCATTGCTCTACTCCCCCTCCTTGAAATAACCTATTGCTCAAAATACACCCTTCCTGAACCCCTGATGGAGATGCTGCTTTTAATTGTCCCTTGCAGGTAGTTCTACAATGAGATTTAAACACAGCCTAATAAAATGCAAATTCCTTCCCACAGCCTAATGAGGCCCTACTTGACCGACTCCTTTCCACCTCTCCAGCTTCATTAAACAAATCTTCATTGAACACCCATTGCATGCCAGGAACAGCTTCAAGCTCAAGGATCATATAGCAAAGAACAGAGTAAACAAAAATTCCTATTCTCATGAACCTTATTCTAGTGGGAAAAGAGAGACCAAAAAAAAAAGAGAGAAGTACATTATAAAGAGTTACAAATGGAATAGAGAGAAATAGAGCAAACAGGCACAAAATTTTAAATAGGGTAACAAAGAAAGTTCTCACAGAGAATGTGACATTTAAAAGACTGAAAAAGGTGAGTGGAAAATCAATGTGGGTATTTGGGGGAGGAGCATTCTGAGCAGGGGAACAGCAAACTCAAAGACCTTGAGGCAGGAACGTCTTAAAAAACAGAGCAGTTGAAACCTTTAGGGGAATAGTAGGAGATGAGTTCCTGGAGATCACAGGGGGATAAGTTATGTAGAAAATTAAGGCCATGATAAGGATGTTCACTTTAACTCTGAATCAGATGGTAAGCCACTCTAGGTTTTAAAATGCAGGAATGACATGGTCTGACTTAGGTTTGTAAAGGGTTGGTCCACCTGCTGTATTGAGAACAGACTGTAGGCTGGAGTCAGGGGTTCATGGACATTGGAAGCAGGAAGACTAATTAGGAAGTCACTGCATTAATCCAAGCAAACACAGTGGTGGTTTGGGTCAGAGCAGGAGTGGTGGAGGCAGTGAGAAAGTGGTCAGGCTCTGAATGCATAGTGAAGGTAGGGAATTTGGCAACCAATTTGAAGTGTGGTGTGAAAGCAGGAGAGGAATCAGGGATGTCTCCAAGTTGTCTGGCCTGAGCAGGGACGAGGATGGGATGTCATCAATTGAACTGCGGAAGACTTGGCAGAACAGGTTTGTTTGCGGTGTGCTGAATTTGAGAATTGTATTAAATATCTAAGAGATGTTGTTGATGAGACAGTGTGATGGTTTTTTGATGAGCCAACTCGGTTAGGCTAAACTGTGAGGACAAACTAGAGGGAAGCATCCATTCTGTAGCATACAGACACCTCATCCCAGTTATTCAAACACTGCTCTAGGTACTGCTGTGAAGGGATTTTGTAGATAGTAATTAAAGTCTCTAGTAAATTGACTTTAAGCTAGGGAGATTATTTTAGGTAGGTCTGGTATAACCAGGTGAATCCTTGACGGTCCTGGTGGTCTCCAGACTCCAAATTCCAACCAGCATCCAGGTCAAAAACTGTCCTCCCCTCACTCGATCCTCCCTTACTGACTGCCTGTGGGTAACAGCTTCTGGCCATGCCTGTAAGGTTCCTTCCTGATCATGATCCTGACTGCCTACCCTAAAGATTTTAGACTTGCTTAGCCAGCCTCCATAATCATACATGCCAATTCCTTGTATTAAAACAGATAGAGAGAGCTAGACAGATAGACAGATAGATGATAGATAGATGATAGATAGATAGATAGATAGATAGATAGATAGATAGATAGATAGATCTTCTTAGCTCTGCTTCTCTGATTGAACCCTGACTGACATAGGCAGTAAGCAATGTCAACACAGAATTCAGGAGACAGTTCTACACTGGAAATGTAATTTTGATAGTCATCGTCATAAAGATGGTGCTAAGACCCAAGACCGAATTAACTCACCACGTCAGAGTACACCCATACAGAAGACAGGAGGACCATGAACAGAGTCTTGGGACACACTTAACATTAAGACATTGGGGAGAAGAGGAATACGCAGCAAAGAAGGAAGAGGAGCAGCCCCACCCCCTGTGTTTTGTCTGCTACACTCCGGCCATTCCAGCTTCTTTCTGCCCCATCTCAGGGCCTTTGTCCTCTTCTCCCCTTAGGCTGGAATGCTCTTTCGCACTGTATGGATGGTGCCTTCTCATCAAATGTTATCATCACCAAGAGGCCTTTCTGATCATGCCTGCTAAAGTTTCCACCTCCCACCCCAGCTTATCTCTATTCCATCTACCTTTTTTGTTTTCTTCAGAGAACTTTCAATGATCATAAATCTCTTTATATGTGTTTATTTTTTGACCCTACCTCCACCCCTCCAAAATTAAATTCCATAAAGCAACTCAGACTGTATTCTCTCTACATAGAATACGCAGGAGCCAGGATTACACAAAGGCCAACCTTTGTGACAAGAAGAAAATGGAGTCCTTGCTGGGTGGCTGTAACACCACAAGCACATAGACTGGTGTGTAGGGCAGAGACTGAATTTCAGCCCTGATGTGTGCCAGGGGCTTTGGGGCAGCATGCAGACTGTATAACTGGATACAATAGCTCTGATATTAGGCAGCCAATACATATTTATTAAGTTAACAAATGAGAGAATTTACTTTTCTCTTTCCTCCACCTCAAAGCTGAACCATCACTTTCATGCGCCTTAGGCAATTTTGCCTTCGTGAGCCCACTCCTCCTCCATAAAAATATATTAAAAGTTCAAATATATGGTGATGGAAGGAGAACTGACTCTAGAGTGGTGAATACACAATGTGATATATAGATGATGTATTATAGAAATATACATTTGAAACCTATATAATTATACTAACTAATGCCACCCCAATAAATTTAATAAAAATTAAAAATATGTATATATTAAAAATTATATTTTATGATTGTATTGGTATAAATAGTATAAATATATTAATATTAAAATCAAAACTTTTGTTTCTTTGACATAAAAGCTACTGTTTTCTTATTTAGAAAAGAATTAAAACATTTAGTGGACCCTTAAAAGTATTATGGCTCTAGATACTGTCCTCACTGTGCCACATGAATAAATCAGCCCTGATAAATTTCTTGTGTACATGGACATACTTTAGTTAACCCTGTTTCTGGAAAATACTGGCACATGACAGGCTCTCAATAATGTCTGTTGATTTGAATGATACATACCCACATGAAATTAATAACATTTATCCCATTCCTAAATCTTCGTATTTTACATGTGTACTAATTAAATAATCACAACTGTATGCATAATAGAGTAAAGCTTACCTTCTCTTTATATTCAGTCTCATATCTTACACAAGGTTGTTGGGTAATATCTGGGCCCTTGAACTTGGATATTCTTAGAAGAAGCTGGCGTTGTGCATAAACCAGGAGTGGTGTCACTTGCTCTGTATACCTCTCACTAAACAGGGGTAAAAATACATTAAAAAGCAAACATTGGCTAAAACTCAATTTTTTTTTCAATGAAGTCTGTAACTTTTAATTGTCTTTACAGCAGTACTTACTGTGAAATTGTATTGAACTGAATGGCAAGTGATACTAGCGTTTCCCATTTTTCTACTTGATATAAAAGTTCCAGAGATTTTAA